GAGCACTTCTTGCTCTTAGTCCCATAACACAGCTGTAGGATGGTGCAGCTTGAGCTCCTCATGCCCATGTAGCCATGGTCATGCTTGGGCAGCTGGAGGCTGCCTGCTGTTGGCTTGTGTCTCTGTCCTTGCTTCAGGCTCTGAGATACCTGTCCTGCATGACTCAACTCAGCCTTCCCCAACGCTTCTGATTTAATCATCCCAGGCAATCTGTGGTCTGCACTGACCTTTTCCATTCTGTCCTGTTACATTTTCTCCCCAAGTACATGTTTTACTGGTTTTGGTCCAGTTGCTAAAAATAATATTCTCTTTCTTTATAAGCTGCAGATTTTTCTCTTGACTTTGCTTGCAACTCACTCTTTCTATTTCAATATTTTATAGGATCAATGAGAAACACTAGCTGCTTGCCGTTTGTGAAGTTCCATGCATTAATGGAAAGCTGCTTTTGTCTGCTAAATACGATGATAAAGAACATTTGAACACTTGGAAGAAAATGTTGGTGCACCTACCTCTCCTGCATAGATGTGTATTTTCCAATCATTGACTACTTCTTTGCCATTGCTATGATGTAGAAGGAATCAACTGAACACAGGGAGACTCTGATAACAAAGAATGCATTTCAGAAACAGCATTGAATGTTATTCTTAATTTGGTAACATTTGTGAAAGACCCTTTTTTTTTTTTTTAATTACTTTCCTAGTTAGTATGTATTATTCCAAAATACATGCCTTTGATTTTAGAAATTGTCAGAGGAAAAGAATAATTTTGCCACAATTGTTAAATGTCTTGCTTGTCTTATGTATTCAGTGCCAAATAAAAAAATCTGTTTATGCAAAATTTATTTATGCTAAGTCTTGAAAAAGATTTATATGCTAGAAAAGTGGAAGACATAGTGATCTTTTAATTGCAAAACACATTTTTTAAAAAAAGCTTCTTTCTTATATGTTTTAAAGTATACTTTTTTGTTTCTTCTTCCATCAGTCTTCCCCTCATTCCTTGAGCTGTTATGGAATATAAACATAAAAACCAAAAAGTGCTTTTGACCTGAGAGCACCATTATTTTCTAATTTATTTATCAAAAGTTTTTCAAATGAGATGCCTTGGCTGGTCAGATGTATAGCTGAGTAGAATTCATCCTTTTTGGAAAATGCATCCTATTTATTCTGATATCTTTGAAGAACTGTATTTGTGAAAGCACTCAAATTTTCTGCACTCATGGACAAGGCAGATAGAGTGGGGTGGGAGGAGAGGAGACAGTGTCACTCCATCATTTGGACACTGTCAGGGTGGGCTGAATTTGGTTCCTGTGCCCAGTGCTCTTTCATTATGTTGCAGTTGCTGGATGAAATGGTTAATGCATGTAGATCCATATAACTTGGACCTAAATCTTCCACTTCCTTGGTGATCATTCTTGGGCTGGGCAAGAGGGGACTAGCCATGCTGTCAAAAGACAGGACCTTGCTCAGCCCTGTGGATGAATGTTGATAAGGCACCCAAAAACTGCACGGTACTGACCTGGGGATGGAGGCATCTGATGAACAGAGAGGTGCGAGATTCTGGGTACAGCCTCGTGCTCAGCATTTTCTCTCCACTGGCCTAGAGCTGCCTCCCTCTGACAGTGTCATCTTGAGATGTTCCTGTTCTGGCTGTTGCTTCCTTGGTTCAATAAATTTCACTGGCTGAGAAAAAAGAAGTAGCATTCTACCAGCTCTGTGGTTTGCAACCAGAAGAAAACAATTCGACCATTTCAGACCCTCGAGACCATAGGGGTGCAAGAAGGATGGCATGCTGTAAAATAATAAAAAAACATGCTGCAGAAAAGTTATGGTAGAGCTAGACCTTCTACAGTCCGGGTGGAAATGCCTTCATCTCCCTGAGTTCAGCTGATCATAGTAACTGGAAGCTAGAAAAGAAACATGCTACAGAGCAGCCAACTATAGCATGTCTATTTTTTTTCCTTCTATTTGTTTTAGGTTTTCAAATAAAAACAGAGCGTGCTCTTCATCCCAGGAGCTTTCACTCTAATGGGCTGTTAATGAGCTATCAATTACTTATGCAAAAGAAAATACACACATATGCACATGTTCCTCAGCTGAAGGTTTGCCGTGTTTGAATGTTGGGGCTCGTAGCCTTTTCCACCTGGGTCTCCAGCCCTGCATGTATCTTTGCATTCACCCTGTTACAAGATCTGGCATGTAGCACCATGAGCAAGACTGCAGACCTGAGGCTCATGGATTCATGCTCTGCTCTCATGCAACACTGGCAGTTCCCTGCACAACTTGCTATGATGCACTTCTCCTATTGAGCACTTGCAGTGCATCACTCAGTCCTCAAGCCCTCTTGTGAAGGACGCTAGCTGATAATCTTATTTCTGATGGCACAATCTCTTTCTTGTCTGTGGATTCTTGAATTGCAAGGTCTAAAAAGCATTTCTGTCCATTCACAACAGGACCAGGAAGCTAAACTTCCACCCAGCCTTTGTCATCCTCAATTAGGACTGATTGCTGTCCTGAGCTTGACCTTGTAATGAAACTGGTGACCTTGGCACAGGCAATACAAAACCTCTTGCTCATCCCAAGTTTGGAAACCACTTGCTGAACTCCAGTTTCCTCATGAATGAGGAGCCCTTGGCAAGACCCAGTGCAGTCACTGCCTCCCAGATGGGTTTGTGGGACCCAGAAATGTCAGGACACTGCTGGCCGAGTGCAGTGCTTGGGCTGCTCTGGGCCCTTTCCTTTCCTCAAGCTCCTCTCCTACATCTCCCTGTGAATCTCAGTCCCCATTAGCCCTTAGGCTCTCCCCAGGGTGGCCTCCAGCCCAGGGACCAACATCTTTCCACCACCCACCTCCTCCCTGCCCCATTTCCTCCCCTGGCATCTTGCAGAGCTCCCAGCAGGGCAGCATGCAGGAGTACTGCAAGTGGTAGTGAAAAAAACAAACAGAAAATGAAAAATGGTACAGAAGAGTTGTGTTAAAAAACACATAGTCCTTCCTTGGTTGTTTTGTTTTGTGTGTGACTAGACTGTGTAAAACAAGTCTAACACCCCAGAATTAGCCAGGCTGCCAAGGGTTAAGGTATTTATGAACTTGTTAAGAGATGGAAACATTATGCACCCTTCATGATGTTTAATTTTAACTGCCACACTAGAGAGAGCCTTTGATTACATTATCAGTTTATTCAGTTTATTCTCATTGACTGTTAGTTGTTGTAGCTCCTTTTTTTTTCACAGCTCTATTTCTGCATTACAAAAGATATTTCTCCTAATTGACTGGAAATGGAGGATTTTAATTAGCCACGCTTTTCATGCAGAGGATTCCAACTGCTGCAATCATGGGCACGCATAGGGTTAAGTATCAGTCTAAAAGATTAATGATGACTTAACCGGAATCATTTTATCACAGACACAGAAAATAAATCCCCTTCCCAGGGAGCCACTGAGGAAGGGACCCAATAACAAACCAATAACAACTGTTTGTGCTGCTGCTCGCACCCACAAACAGCAGCGATAAGACAAAAATCATTGCAGGGATCAAAGTCCCTGAGCTCCTTGGCCAGAGCTGGGCTGAACCAGGAGGTGCACTGCCTACCTGCAGGTGACTTTCTCTGGAGACATTCAGAGCTTGTGCCCTCAGCTGGCTTTCTCAGGATGGGAAAGCAGCACGTGTGTTTTGGTGCCAGGCTTCTGCCCATGAGAGCACCCTGTGCTGCTGCAAGGGAACCAGTGCTGGGTTTCACTCCTGGCACCAGTTTGAAGCTCTGGTTTGGATTCCCAGAGGCTGCTGCTGGGAATCCACCAGACGTGGACCTGGAGCTTCAGAGCCCCAGCCACACATGTACCAGGGAAGAAAACGCACCACATTTACAGCAGCTCTGAACCATGAAATTTCCAATTTCTCCTTAACAGGAAGGAAAAAAAAAAAAAAAAAAAAAAAAAGCCAACATGACCCCACTTTTCCTGCACTCTTTCATCTTCCTCGCAACAACCAAACCAACTGGGACCAGGACACGGTGCAGCAAAAGACGCGGCTGTTAGCTGACAGCAGAGTACGGAGAACGTGCACCAGCAAAATGGGCAGAAATCTCTCCTGGAGCACAAACATGTGGCAGTTACCAGTACAGCACACTGAATATTACATAAACGTTGGGCTGCATGTGTTTTAAGGCTTGCCTGCCCGTGGATAAGGAAATTAATCTGATGTTTAGATTAGGTTCGTGTCTACACACTGTAAGTACGGATTTAGTGGCTTTTTGGCCAGAAACAAGACAGAACTTGCTCAAAATCACAAGCTTTAAAACGTTCTCTCTTCTCCAGGACTAAATCCTCAAGTCTTTAATTGTTAAAGAGGCAAAACTTTGTCTTGGTGAGGGCAGAGAAAAACTGCTCATGGAAAAATGTATCTTGGCTGGGTGGGTGAGGCCCCCCCAGAAAGTGCTGCCTCACTATGAGCATTGACCTGCTTAGGAAAAAAAGATGTATAAAAAGAAGCTCTCCAGGGCAAGAACTGCATCATTACACCGCTTTCATTTTCCAGTGGAAGGCTTTGTTCTGTGGTTTTGCAAAAGCAGCTCTCAGTAGCAGGAGCCATCTTTATTCTAGCGGGCTGAGGGGCATGAAAACTCCTGATCCTCGAGAAAGTCCCTGTGCACCAGTATTACAGACACACTGAAAACTCCACTGGCTTCAAAAATACCAGGCTGTGAAAACAAGGGACTGGAAAGAAGAGACAATGTGACAGCTGTCTGGACGACTTTAATTCATCCCACCTGCACAAAGGTGTTATGGCTCAGTCTCACACAGCCTTTCTCCCTTGGTTCCCAGCACCGTGAGGTACATGGGATAAGGTAAGGCTCTCATCGAGCAGCTGGTCAATATTTTATTGTATTTCCTTTTTTTTCTGCAGTTTGTAGCCCCAGGCCTTGTCTACTGCAGACTTTTCAAACCAGCTCTGAATAAAGATGCGTCTATTTTCCCCTGGCCTTTTCTATAGCCTTCATCATCATTACTTCTGACTGCCTCACACACTGGCTTATTTTCACTGCCTTGTAGATACTGCCTCCTTTGGAGGACTGAGGCACTGAGAGATCAAGGTCTGGGTGCTGTGTGCCGGACTGAGGCAGCTCAACCTACTTTCCCTGGAGTAGCACGCTCAAGAGCGCATTAGCTGTTCCAGACATTGCTCCCATCTACTTGAGCTGCAGGTATTATCAGAATGGATAATTCTGCCAGGAAATAAATAAATAAATAAATAAATAAAATAAATAAATAAATAGAAGAAGAAGAAAGAAGAAGAAGAAAGAAAGAAAATGGAAAAGGAAAAAAAGAAAAAAGAGCTCCAAGCTGGTCCTATAGAAAAGTGGGAACCCCAAATTCATGTCAATGTGTTTAAGCAACTGGACTTTGCAGTGACGAAAATAAATGATCATAGGATGCTCCAAGAGCAGCCAGACTCCAGCAGGTACCGCTGCACTGTGGGCAGCCGGTAACGAAAGCTCTGCCGGGTGCCAGCTGCTGTTATGTGCTGGGGAGCGCCAGGCTTGGGGGCGTCAGGGGAATTTCTCCTGTCCCGATACGGTGCACAGCTTTTGCTTCCCAAGAACAGAGCCTGTGTGGAAGACTTGCACCACCACACAGCCCAGCACAGCTGCCTGCTCCTGCCACAAGTGGCACGTCTCTTTGGTCAGGCCCCACCAACAGGGGATCTGCATCACCTCGCATCACCTCCTGTGGGGAGGGGTCCCGCTGGGACGTCCTTGGGGTCCCAATTCTCCTGTCTGCTCTCCCGAAGTAACGAGCTGTGAGAAGAGTTCTTTTTATAGAAAGTTACGCAGAGCTCTTTGATTCTGCTTTGGCATCCCAAAATATACAACTTTCTTCCTGATACTGTATGATCTTCAGTTACCACACAAAAATAAATTATCTGCAGGAGAATAAGGGCAAGCTGAAAACTTATTTATCACCCAACCATTATAATGTGGTTGATGATCAAACAACCTGTGAAGCTGAGATAATTTTCTTCATCTTCAAGTAGCCACTGGAAAGCCTCATTACATGCCTGAAGTTGCATTGCTTAGCAACAGCATTTCAGAAATTCGAGTTATCAGCATGATCGCTAATAAGACAGTAAGCTGCAAAAGAATTCTGAATAAACTGGATGCATTTGCATTTCAAAATAAATGAGAGTAAATGTCAGATTGTGTTTTGGAGTAGACGAACTCCTCTTAGCAGAGATGCATTGCATTTACTCAAGAACTTGTACAATATAGACAAATCTGAAACGTTTCTTAAATATAGCATATTTGTGAGCTTCGCATATTTTACTACTCTTCTAATGTTAGCTGTAGCTAAAGAAGTCTGCTTTCAGAAAAACATGCTGTCAAAGCATGGCACACACAAGGACAATTAGAAGTGGTATTTTCCACCGCAGAACACAGCTATGAACAGGAGTTTCTGAAAGATGAAGACACAATTAGCCTGCTGCAATTCCCAGGATCCATTCGAAGGATAGTTTGGTTTATCTAACCATATTTGAGAACACTTATTAAACAAATACTCATAGAAGAAATTTGAAAAACCTTCTTGATCTCATTGTAAAAACACAGATGGATAAGGGTAGCATAGTTCACAAAAGCAGAGCAAGCCCGGGACTTTTCTGTAGCCCTGGATTTCTGCTAAAACATACAGAAAACAGAGCCATGGGGCTGACCGGTGAAAGCAAAGCAAACTGTAGTCCAAGCCCATTGGTGACACGTTGCCTTTCTCACCTGTTCATAATGTTGAGCTGATCAGCAACCAAGAACAAAAGTACCTGGCAGCAGCTGTGAAGCAGCTGATTTGAATTTGGCCACATTTTGTCTCCAGGGAATTCAGCAGAAATGTTTTCTTCACTCATTCTTTCACAGGCATAGATTTCAGGTGTGGAAAAAAAAAAAAAAAAAAAAAAAACAAAAAAAATTCATTCCTGTTCTCTCTGCACGCACATTCACCCTGAAGGCAGAGGAGAACCATCATCCTACCTACCCACCTGTAGCTCCTCCTACTGACACCTTCTCTAGCCAGCATATGTATGTGCATACAGGCATGCCCAAAAGTTGTCACATCCCACCTGTGTGAAACCTCCTCTGTGGCTGCTGGGGAAGCTTCTTGGCCAGCTTCGACTCATTGCTTCAACACGTTCTCACTGAGCGAGGGAAGGTGAAGTTTTTCCAACAGCACCACTGGGGACAAGAAGAGCCAAGCACAGCAGTGACAACTCTGAGAGCGGGAGGCACGAGAATGGCCTCAGAAAAGCACTAAGGGTGCTAGGGGAAGCTTTCAGAAGGGAGGAGATTCTGGGATGAAGGTGGTCTGTGGGCCTGAGTTGCCTAACCCACCACAGCAGCTTGACAAATGACCTTTGGGGCACCTCCTTTCTCTCAGACCCCCTTGCATTACGCAGGACACAGGATGAGCCTTATTTGCCTGAACAAGTGGAAACTCTCAGCCTTATTTAGTAAACACTACTCTGTTAATTGTTAATTAGGCCTAAATTACTAGGTTCATTGTGAGTTTATTCACTGTGGTTGATCTCAATGATTTTGCGAGTTCACTTTCCTTCTGAGGTGCAAAGAAAAAGAGCTGGATAGTCAGGTCTTACTGCTGGAAGGCTGACACGCAGTGACATTAATTGGAGAGCTCAGTCGGAGAGGTGTAGGAGGTGACATTTCAGAGCAACACACACTGCTCCTGTGTCCAGAGCACAGCTCATCCCCATCAGGTTGGCAGCTGCAAGTCCTCGGCACTTTTCCAGTTGAGCTCTGGGGTCTCAAGCTTTGCAGTTAAGGCTTAGCTATGAAAGGTTTGTCTTCAGAGACTTGTCTTTACTTAATTGAGAGTGTCAGATAAGCTATAAACATTGCGAAAGACAAGGCTGCCGACCCTACCTGGAGCACAAGTCCCCTTTTGCATCCATGATGGAGAGATCTTATCCCTTCAGCACCATAAGATCTGTATTTGTAGAGCCTATATTTATTTACTTTTTAAAATCCTACCCAAAACATTAGATATTTCCTTTCCAACTTCCTCTCAAGAAGAGGGCGAGACTCATCCTTTAGGTTTTCTTTTACCATTAGTTATAAGGGCAAAAATTCCAAGCCAAGTTTTCTTTAGTCTAGAGGTCAGTCAGTGGGAGAGCTTTTCTACCTGCAAGGGAAAAGCATGAATCCAAATGACAGGCAAACAGATATGAAGGAGTGAAAAAGAGCTTGGCCTTGTGAAAGAGAGAGAGGTAAGGCGGTTTGGGTACATCAGAAACACGCAGATGCACAATTTATATGTGCCATGATTCTTTCAAAGAGTGTTCTCAGAACTCCTTTTGTAAAGTACAGTGTTCTTGTGCTGAATTATTTGGGTCTTTGCTAACCTAAAGTCCTAGCCTGAAGTTATTTCTCCCTGCAAGCAGATGTTATTTTAATTTTACAGTTTTAGGAAAAAAAAAAAAAAAGCCTAGGAAGTGGTATTTCACCTCATTTCAAGGCCTACTGTTGGAAATAGTTTGGGAAATGCTCTAATTCTGAACGCTGTGAAGCCTCTTGTATTTTGACACCCACGTGTAGCTCTTCTGGCCTACAAAATAAGCCAGGAATGGCAAATAGCTCATTCTAAACCTCAGTCATATTTAATGCTGAAAATAAAACATGTAGACAACCTTATAATTCTTATAAATAATGGTTCTACAGTCCGGGGCAATAAATGTGAGAACTATGGTTTATGATAATGTATTCCGCAGTGACAGTAGAAAAATAGGTCATCATTTTGAAAAGGAGGAAAGATATCTATCATGTTGAACACACCAACATGAAATTCAAAGTAGTTTCAGGGGGAGAACAAGGCAGTCAGTCCATGGCATTGTTCTCCTGACTCTCCATGTCCCCAAACACAACATGTGTATCAAGATCTTGTCGTGACCACTGTGCGGGGAGGGCAGCCACAAGTATGAATCCCAAGGCCTGTCATATTTTGTGTTAGGAGATATCTATATATCAGCATCCCAGAACATTGATCTGGATGGCATTCACCAAAGCATGTGAGGAGGAGAGGAGGGGAGGGGAGGGGAGGAGAGTACGGTGTGAGGGAAGGCTCATTTCCACTGAACTTGGGCAGGATGCTGAGCCTGTGTTTTAATAAATATTTGACACAAATCCTCTCCCAGCCAGCCAAAGGCAAAGGTTCCTTCATTTAATTGGTCTTCCAACCTGTCAGTGTTTGATTTACTTTATTCTGATACTTTTAATTTTTAGTCCTAATTGATTCATATGTCTTATCCCCCTTATCAGTAAGTTACAAAAGAGGAATTCACTGAATCTCACTTTATTTTGTCTTTGTTCTGCCTTTTTGCCTACCACACTTTCTTTAGCAGCTGCTTTTAACAGAGAAAAATCTGCTCAGACTTTTCTTCCTCTCAGTCTTGTTTATCTTTGCCCAGTGTTCCTGAAAGCACACTGCTTATTCAGTATCTCAGGAACAGACTGCTTCTGCAGACTGATCTCTACATCAGCTCCCACTAATTGGCCTCCAGCAGCCAGTTCAGTGGAAGTCTTGCATCTGAACACTAATTTTGGAATAAAAAGGTTAATGGCAAAGTCAACCAAGGCCCATTTGTTACAAAAATAAGTAAACTGATTTGACTTTATTTGACTTTGCATCAAATAGATGCCTATAAAAAGGCCAATAATAAATGTGCATCCTAAAAATAGTTCCAGAAGCATTGAAAATTTATTTTCTGATGAGGAAAGAAGGGCCTCAGCTCACCGGTAGTGGATATATAGAGCCTGGTTGTCTTAGGCAATACTTTGGGTTTTCTTTGCACATAGGCTTGAGAAAAGAGTGCTTCCAGAGGGAAGCAGACACTTTTTGTTCTGCAATAGCAGTGTCTGCTCTTCCTTTTGCAATGAAATAACTGACGTCTGTATCACTCACCCCATTAGTTTCTTCCGTATAGAGATATATATTACGAGCCTGAAGGTATTCTTGCAGAGCTGACCTGGCAGAAATTTTCAGTGAAAAAATTTTATAGAGGTAATGTTGCTGAAAAGAAAGATCTGTCACACCGTGGGATCATGGTGTGCTTGAATCATGGTCTTGTTTTCCCTTCACATTTGTAGACAGACACAAGGCTTAATACAGAAAAAATAGTTCCTGGATTTTTTGTTTAATTGTTTTGTTAATAACAGACAGTGTTATTGGTTTGATTCACATTGTAAGATTTTTTATTTTTTATTTATTATTTTCCAAATTTTAAGCAAAGGCTACTATGGGAAATAAATATTTACCTGATGACCAGGTGAAGCAGACTTTTCCAGTCTTCAGTTACTGATAGGATGGGAACAGCTCACAGTTCTCTTTGACCATGAAGGTTCCCATCTCACCTAAAAGTAGGAGTCAATGTGTGTGTGTCATAGGAGACCTACAGATTTCATTGACTATTGTGGAGCTTGAAACTTCTTGAAATCTGGAGCATTTACAATGATGAAGCTGTACCATCCCCACCACCCTAAGGAAATGAGAGATTTTCTTAGAAAATACCTTAGAAAGGAAAGACAACCAATTTTTGGACATTATAGATGTGCATCCCAATGCACCAGGAGAGGAGGGAATTGTCTGGAGAGTTCAAGACCCAGCAGAAAGGGCAGAAGAAAGGCTTCCTGTACACTGTGGTTTCCCACGCTGTGATTTTTTCCTGCTAATGGCAGAGATAAGACACTTATAGAAAGGCTTTGACTTTACATAGTGTAATGCATGCAACACCTCTCTGCAAAAAAAGGGCCTTCAAAGAGAGGGGCTTCAGGTTTCACTTGTCAGAATTACCAGGAATCCTGTTTGCATTTAATTCGTCTTCTAAAACAGAGGGGCAAGTGAGACCCTGGAGTACAGTGTAAATATATATACATATATATGTTTATATTTGGTATATATTAAAAAACATAACAAAGAGTTATTTGCATTCCTGAGGAGAGAGGAAAGGAGAAAAATAACAAAGGTCTCCAGCATAAAGTGCAATTTTAAGTGTTTTCTACACAAACAACACTAAATGCTCAGAACCATCTCTCTCACCTCATTCATTAAAGCAGCCTCTCTTCCTCACCTACTTCCAGAAGTATGTGTGTGGCTTGGCTCAGCTTGGATTTTAATTCTAGGCATCTACCTTTGAAGTGTCCTAGTAAAAGTGAGAAAGAAGCCCTCGACTCCCCTATGCCCAGGACACCGCCTGAAGGTTTTCCAGCAGGAGCTGATGAGCAGCCCCTCCCCAGCATGCCAGTTCACAGCAGCAGTCCCGTCAGATGTCCTTGCCACCTGCCCTTATGTACCCTCATGCACCCCACAGTGCTGTCTGAAAGGGCTCCAAGGAGGAAAACAGGCAGGTGCACCGGTCTTTCATAATGGGAAATCCCAAAGGAGGAAGGAGACGGAGGAAAGAAGTCCTGCAGGGCAGACTTCTCAAAGACTTCTGTGTTCTTCCAGTCTAGCAGGGGGAAGGAAACTGGGCTGAAGTCAGTCTGGGAATTTACTGACCCCAGGCAGTAACAGCAGTCAATCTGGCATTATGGTTTTATATATATATATAGTGTTTTTCACAGCTGCAAAATGAATGCTGAGTGATTTCAAATTTCTTAGGAGCTGGCCTTCAGATATTCTCTAGCAGAAGAACTCACTCTGGCTTCTATTAGCTCAGCTTTAATCTATTTAAAAGCTAAGCTAAAGAAAATTCTCTTAAACAATATACATAATATATGGATGGCGGAGCAGTATCTTAAAAAAATAAATGTTTGCTGCTTTACATTAACGTTGTGACAGTTGGGTAGGGATGTCTATGTTTAAGTGCAGAGCAATGCTGCTGAGATGCGATATAAAAATCTGACTGGCTTCCATGGAAGATGTTATCTTTGCCAAAAGAGCTTAACATAGAATTGCCTCATATATTTCTTTCAAAAGTTATCCTAAAAGGCTCTGTGGTGGACCTGAACATGACTGCTAAGGAAAGATGCTAATAATTTTGACTTCAACGGCTTCCTCATGGGTATCCTGTAGTTTGACTAATCATGCCTCCAGGGATCTTGGTGTGGCTGTATGGATTTCCCACACAATATATGGGTATTGATTTTTATTTTATTTATTTATTTTTTCAGGGTGTGGATGGCTTTAGTTGTTAATCTCTGCAAATTCCCACTGACCTCTCATCCGTGCGTGGTTCTCTTCCTTACAGCTGGTTCAGCCTGCCTCCCCTATCCGCCCTTTTGCAGCAACCAGAAGATTTCTAAAGGTACTTGGTAGAGTTTTGGCAGGTCCAGTCCCAAGAAAACAAGAATCTCCCCTTGTTTCCC